AGATATCGAAACTCAAAAATTTGGCCCGAAAAAAAAAACGACAGTGGTACCCCTTACGTTTTTTTTTTTGGCGAAAAATTACGTTTCTCCAATCTTCCCAAATTCTGGTAGAGGGCCATGAGACTTAGACCTGAGTGCAAAAATGAAGGCTCTAGCCCCTTCCAGAGCTGAGATATCGAAACTCAAAAATTCGGCCCGAAAAAAAAAAGACAGTGGTACCCCTTAGGTTTTTTTTTTTGGGCGAAAATTAAGTTTCTCCAATCTTCCCAAATTCTGATAGAGGGCCATGAGACTTAGACCTGAGTGCAAAAATGGAGGCTCTAGCCCCTTCCAGAGCTGAGATATCGAAACTCAAAAATTTGGCCCGAAAAAAAAACGACAGTGGTACCCCTTACGTTTTTTTTTTTGGGCGAAAAATTACGTTTCTCCAATCTTCCCAAATTCTGATAGAGGGCCATGAGACTTAGACCTGAGTGCAAAAATGGAGGCTCTAGACCCTTCCAGAGCTGAGATATCGAAACTCAAAAATTCGGCCCGAAAAAAAAAACGACAGTGGTACCCCTTACGTTTTTTTTGGGGGGGCGAAAAATTTAGTATAACCAATCTTCTCGAAACTCTGGATTCTGATAGAGGGCACTGAGACTTGCACCTGAGCGCAAAAATGGAGGCTCTAGACCCTTCCAGAGCTGAGATATCGAAACTCAAGTTTCGACCCGAAAAAAAAACGACAGTGTTACCCCTTACGGTTTTTTTTTTTGGGCGAAAAATCAAGTATCCCCATCCTCTCGAAACTCTGGATTCTGATAGAGGGCACTGGAGACTTGCACCTGAGCGCAAAAATGGAGGCTCAGACCCTTCCAGAGCTGAGATATCGAAACTCAAAATTTCAACCCGAAAAAAAAACGACAGTGTTACCCCTTACGTTTTTTTTTTGGGGCGAAAAATCAAGTATCCCAATCTTCTCGAAACTCTGGATTCTGATAGAGGGCACTGAGACTTACACCTGAGCGCAAAAATGGAGGCTCTAGACCCTTCCAGAGAGCTGAGATATCGAAACTCAAAAGTTCGACCCGAAAAAAAACGACAGTGTTACCCCTTACGTTTTTTTTTTTGGGCGAAAATCAAGTATCCCAATCTTTCTCGAAACTCTGGATTCTGATAGAGGGCACTGAGACTTACACTTGAGCGCAAAATGGAGGCTCTAGACCCTTCCAGAGCTGAGATATCGAAACTCAAATTCGACCCGAAAAAAAAAACGACAGTGTTACCCCTTACGTTTTTTTTTTTGGGGAGGCGAAAATTTAGTATCCCCAATCTTCTCGAAACTCTGGATTCTGATAGAGGGCACTGAGACTTACACCTGAGCGCAAAAATGGAGGCTCTAGACCCTTCCAGAGCTGAGATATCGAACTCAAAATTTCGACCCGAAAAAAACGACAGTGTTACCCCTTACGTTTTTTTTTTTGGGCCGAAAAATCAAGTATCCCCGATCTTCTCGAAACTCTGGATTCTGATAGAGGGCACTGAGACTTGCACCTGAGCGCAAAAATGGAGGCTCTAGACCCTCCCAGAGCTGAGATATGGAAACTCAAAATTTCGACCCGAAAAAAAAACGACAGTGTTACCCCTTACGTTTTTTTTTTTTGGCCGAAAAATCAAGTATCCCCGATCTTCTCGAAACTCTGGATTCTGATAGAGGGCACTGAGACTTGCACCTGAGCGCAAAAATGGAGGCTCTAGACCCTCCCAGAGCTGAGATATGGAAACTCAAAATTTTGACCCGAAAAAAAAAACGACAGTGTTACCCCTTTACGTTTTTTTTTTTTGGCCGAAAAATCA